TGAGATATCAAATTACCCCTCTCAGTCCCAAGTTATATAGTATTATAATGTTTGGGGTCATCTAGTTTTGGAGAATTTCATAACTTAAAGCAAATTATGATTCTAAATGTCCCTCTCCCGAAGTTATCTTAAACAATCCTTAGTGTATTTCTTTTAATTAAGTTTTTTGTAATAATGAATATTAAACCGTTCAAATACTTTCTTTTAGTGATACTGCTAATCGAGAACAACACCATTCCACCTCCCAATAATAGCTGCTAGCAAAAGAAATATAAAAAAATAGAGAAAAAGAAGAACTTGTACTTGGTTGTCATCAGCTTCTTTGCCCACAGAATTTGGCTTTATTTTTTTAAATTTTTGTCCAAATGCTAGCTTGATTAGTTCTTTGTATATTTGCGCTTAGCTCTTATCTAAAGAAGTGTCGAGGTAATAGGTAACCACCATCGTAATAATGGAATGTCTAAAAATTGAGAGATCATCGCTAATTTGACTAAATAATCTCTTTTAATATGTCCAGACAAAATTGCGCGTACCTGATTTAACTAAATAATCTTGCAAATAATTTATTTCACACACGTAAATAACCAATGAATGGTAAGTTTTCTACTTTAACCAAGGAATGCAGGTTAATGTTATAGAGGTTGGTATGCGAATTTCTTTGACGTTTTATACCCGGTGTTTTAATTCGGGGCAAGCCCTGGGGCGAGGGGCACCCAAAACGTCCTGAGACGATGGTGTGAAGCGAAAGTCTCAAGAGGCGTACGCCCGGACATTTGAGACACATTTTTTTAGTGAGATGTAAGCCCAGTGACTTTTTCAAATTAAAACAAAATTTGTCGAATAAGCCTTCATATAATACCCAAATTTTCAAAATTCAGCTTGATAATTACTCAAATTTTTTAAAAGGAATTGAAATGTATTAAATTTAAAAGTCAAGACCCTTTTTATTGATTGAAGACTTAATTCATGGTCTTTCCCAATTCTTTATCTTGTTCGCTAGTCTCTAATATCTCCTAAAAGCAACGAATATTCAATTTTTGTTTTACAAATACAAAGAGAACTACATTCTCCTTCATAGCAGCAAGTTCACAGTTCAAATTGCAGGTTAGTCATCTTTTTTGTTTTTCCATGTAGACAACTTTATTCTTTTCGACTCAAGTTACTTGTGCTTCTAAGTAGCATATAATAGATTGTTTACTAGTTTTTTTATGGGGATGAAGCGCGCGCGCACACACACACACATATATCACATATTTATAGTTTTCTTTAATTTTTATGTAATTTTACCAGTTTATAAATATTTATTATAATTATATTATTTTATAAAATATTAAAAACTAAATATATATGGGGCTTACGCCTCGTTAAGCCATATGTAAAATGTCTCGCCTAATGCTCATGCCTTTTAAAACATTGTTGATACCTATTTTTGTTTATCATTCTTATGATTTCAATTTTTACACTACTAGCTGTTTGGTTTATACTACTACTTTCACTGAATATATAATTTCTTTAGCAGGTTAGATTCGCCACTCCTCAATACTTATAGCCCGTTTGACCAAGCTTTTAAAATTAGCTTATTTTGAGAAGTGCTTTTCTCAAAAGTGCTTTTGGTGAGAAGTTGTTTGTGTTTGGCTAATTAATTCGAAAAGCACTTTTGAGCAGTAATTAGTGTTTGACCAAGCTTTTGAAAACTGCTTCTAAGTGTATTTTTCTCAAAAATGCTTCTCAGAAAAATATTTTTGGAGAGAAGCTACTTTTTTATGCTTCTCCAAAACTGCTTCTGCTTCTCTTGAAAAACACTTTTTTTTTTTCCTTCCAAAACCTTGGTCAAACACTTCAATTTTTTGCCAAAAGTGCTTCTTGCCAAAAAAAGCACTTTTAGCCCAAAAAAAAAACTTGACCAAACAGGCTATTAGTGGGCTAAGTTGCAAATCAGCGGCTACCCTCACTCACTCCCGGAAAAAAAAGAAAACAAATTTTTAGGCGGCTCTCCATTCCATTATTTAATTTGCTCTCCATCCTCACCATCGCAGCTGTATTTTATTTTTCGTTGAAATATTTTCATTCGAGCGAAGTGCTCCCTACCAAGAATTTTTTCATATCCAAGACTCAAACTTGAGACCTCTGGTTATGGGAAGAGCAGTACCATCCACTATACCACAAACTTTTGATCATTTTTTCTCGTTGAAATATAATATTCACTCGTGATGACATAAACCAAGACAATTTTTTCAAAAGTCATGGCCAACACGTGCACTTTATTCTGTTTCCCACACGGGCCCGGTACTACTTTGCAACTGACTAATCTGATTTCATATTGCGTAAGATTAATTAAACCACAAATAAGCGCTTTTTACTAGAAGTTTTTCATCCATAGAGTTCTAACCATATAATTTGATTAGAGATAGAAGGATCCTAGCTATCCCGTCATAATTCTTGGTGGTTACTTAATTAATTTTCTAGCGAAGTGAAAATCAACAAGTTGAAATTGGTTTTATTTATTTTATTTAATTGTATTATTTACGTAAATCTTTTTGTACCTTTTTTGACCTCTTCTTCATTTTGGACTAACAACATGCTTACGTTTATATAGTAGTAACTGTTTTGATGTAAATTTGCAAAATTGATTATAAAAATGAACTATATTCGAATATTTATGACATCAACCAATTTCTTGAGAAAGAAGAAGGATATATGATTATATGTACAGCCAAAGCAATTATGCATGCAATATGTTGGTGATCTAGGTTTATTTTGACTAAATGTCAATTGGAATTAAGACATCGAGTTATGTACATTTTAGTCATAGGTTTTGACATATTAGCATCATATGTCAAAACCAAGCTCAATCCAAGCATAATTGAGTAACAATTATTAGCATCATAGTGGTAGAGAATTCTGTTCCTTATTAGCATCATATGAGTAACAATCCAAACTCAAAGTCGATGAACTTTACCAAGGTGAATGTATAACTTAGTAATATAGAGATTAATAATGTAGAAATTAATAATATAGAGATTAGTAATACATATTTCTTGTTGGGTGTTTTAAAATTGGGAGTATAATGTATCATGTAAATTATTTATTTACTTATTAAACTCAAAAATAATGAAGTATAATTATACCAATATACCCTACGATATTTGGTCTTAATAGGTTTCTTGGGGAAAGACAAAAAATAATTTGTACTTTTGGTATTTTATACATGTATAATTTATATATGGATTAGTTATTCCATGTTAGTGGTGTGATAAGATAATATAACAATTAGTGTACAAAATATTATATGAATTAGTTATCCTACATTTTAAACCATAACGAAACAATGTATTAACTCACACAGATTCTTATATCATAAATAATTGTCTTATACACCCACTAACATGATAAAAAATTTATATACCTATGTTGAAATTTTCTTAAACTAGGTTAAATGAATGATCATATCGTAAACTAGATAAAGGTGCCATGGTTGGTAGATCTTTTTGAGAGTTTTTCTTATGTGTAAAATTCAAGGCGGGATTTATCTTGAACCTTATCCGACTTCCCCTTTTCTTTGTGCTTTTTATTTTCTTTTGTAGTCATTTCCCCTTTCGGCTACCTTCCAATTTTATTTTTGTCGTTTAAGTATTTTTTTTAAAATATTTTTTTCTCTATTCTATTATTTTATATGTGGTATCTAGCAAGAACACTCAAAAAAGAGACTTCAAAACTTTAAAATTATATAAAATAAGCATTCCTCTTAATCTTAAATTTATGAGTTTTTTTTTCAAATCCGAAAATACTTGGTTCTTAATGAGAATTTTGGATTGAGATCAAATTTTTTTCATCTTTTATTAATTATATCATAAAAAATTATGTTATTATATCGTTATTAAATATAATTTAAAATTTTTTACTATTAAATTATGATAAAAATTTCGTAAGCATTGCTTAAAAAATATGAGACTTATGATTTAGATTTTTGGAACTTGTAATTTATTTAAATTTATACTTCTGGGGAATAATTTATTTATTGAAGTTATTTATTTTAAAATTTTCTTATTCTGATTGATGTAATTCCTTTGTTGAAGATTTATTTTACTGGTGTAAATTTATTTTTAATATACAGGAAAAGATGTAATTTTCTAGTAAAAATGTTAATTTTACTTGTGTTGTTATAATAAATGTATTATTTCTTATTTAAAATGCTAATTACATTTATTTTTCGATATTTACGATGCAATTTTCTATTTGCAAATAAAAAATACCTATTAGGTTGATCTGAATAAACTTAAAAAAACCAAAAAAAAAACGTACCTAACAAATTTTATATTAATCATTACAAGATATAAATTAAAAGAAATTATGATATTCGTCACCTTCAAATTTTAGATCCGCCCGTGCAAATGACCATTTAATGTATCGACTATCGTCAATCGACGTATGAAAAGGGACAACTGAGTCCTTTGATTAAATAGAAAAATGAGGCGACCAAATGCTAAAAATCAATGCCCAAAAGTGAGACAAAAATTAGGAGAATAGAAAAAAGATACGCCCCCTACGCTCACCCTTCTAGAAACCCTTGACTTAATTTTTATCTTACCATTTTTTATGGTACGCAACGCTTTATTGTTCCCAAATATAAGTAATTTTGACTTACTAAATTTGTTAATAATTAATGTTTTAGAAAAAAATTAAATAATTTATTAATTTTTTTCCAATTTATTCTTACTGTTATAATTAGTAAAATATTAATTAAATAAAATATTAAAAGATTATAGTTTGAACAAATACTTTTATGATTAAGATAATTTAATATCTTTCTTACGAAATGCATAGTACTTTAAAAGACAGACATAATAAAAATAGAGGAAAGTAACACCTATACTTGGATCCGGATAGATCCTATATGGTATTTATTGTTTGTCTTTTTTCTTTCCTAACATACAAAAGGCAAGGCACACTTAAAAAAGAACTTTTCTATTATTAATTTATTTTGAATACATTTATGACAATGCCGTCTCTCCTTCCTCTTCTTCATACACACATCATACCACAATTTTTCCTCATTCTTCCCCTCTTTTCCTCTCCCCCAAAAAATATTCCCTTCATCTAATAGCTATGTTTAATCCAAGAAACCAAAAACCCAATGATCATATCTCAATTCTTGATCCTGTTACAACCTCCGATTACAGTTATAACCTTAGGAATTGGCCTAAAAATGATGTTGAACGTGTCCAATTTAGAGTTCAAGAAAGTTTAAACCATGTTAATTATGGTGATGAATCTGGTGTTTCTTCACCACCCTTATGGAAAAATAGCCATCAAATTTCGACAAATTATCGGTCACATTCAAATAGCTCTAGAGCTTTAGCTATAACTAGAGGCCAATTTGAACTTATGGAAATGGTCAAAAACATGCCTGAATCTTGTTATGAGTTGTCTCTTAAGGATCTTGTTGAGCAAAATACAGTCTTAGAATCTGAACAAGAAGAATGCTTAATAAATAAAGTGGAGGAAAATTTCACTAGTACAACTAGTCCAGAACAAGTAGTTGTACAACAAAGGGTGAAGAGCATACAAAGACAAGAGAGTAATAGTAATGAAAATAAGAAGGGGAAGATGATTAGAAATGAAAGCTTTGAAAATCAAAGACTTTTTCTAAAGATGTTTTTTCCAATTTCATTGGAGTCAAAGAAGAAGCAGAACAAGTATTCACCAAAAACAACTACTAAAGTTTCACCTAAGCCAGCAGAAGGTTTAGATAAATCTTCAAAAAGTGTGGAGAAAGATTGGTGGAAGAGGAGATTTTCTTGTTCAAGTGAGAGCGATAGTAGCAGAACAAGCAGCAGTAACAGTGAAAGCAGTGGCAGCAGTGGTAACAACAATACTAGTAGCAGAAGAAATACTAACAGGTATCTTCAAATTCTGAATTTCTTTCTCAACTCAATATATTCTTGATCTTAGTCACTTAGTTTAGAAATATTGAGGTTTCTTCATATTTTGAATGACTTGGCATTATATGTGATAAGATCACTAATCTGCAATTTTCTGAGAAAACGCAACTTAAGGTGTACCTTAACCGATTTGTTTTGGAATCTATCTATGAATGATCAAAGCAAAGATTGATTCAGCTTGTATTGTACTGTACTGTACTGTATCATTCCATAAAGTAGCACTTATTGTCGTTACGTAACGACGGATTTAATGATACGATATAACAAAATTTTAGTAACAATCAAAATAAATATTATATTTAAAGTAATAACACGACACAATACAACATGTAACAACCATCCAAACAAGATTTATCAATGTATAAATATTTTTTTGTTTCTCTTTGTTGTTTTCTACTTTGTGTAGTCTTGCAAGGAAATTTGAACTTGACTTTGACTTTGACTAGTGTGATCTTCGGCAAATTTTGTTTGCATATTAGGACAAACGGAACAGAACAAAGAATAGATTTTCTTTTTTAGGATTCAATAAAATCAGTGGTGCTTTTAATGGAAAGGTATTGAACATTTGTAATGTTTTCATTTATGAATAAGATATCATCAGACCAAAGTTGGAATCCTAGAAAAGCTTGCAGAATGCAGCTATAGAAAAGAATTTAATAAAAGAGATTACTTAATCAGATTCTTCAAATTTCAATTTTTATCACTTATAAACTAGATTTCACAACACCAATGTTGGAAGCCTAGAAGAGTTTGTAGAATGCAGTTACAGAAAGAATTAAATTAGAGAGATTACTTAATTAGGTTCTGATTCAATGTAAAATTAAGCATATTCTGTTGTTTTAAGCTAAAAATTTAGTGCTGGTCTAATCCTATGACATGGTTGTTGCCCTATAATGCAGGAAAAAGAAAGGATTTTTATCGAGTTGCTGGTCAGCAGAATGAAGACAACCACATATGCCTCTCTTCTTTGGTTAATGAGGCCTGTAAATCATTTATACTTGCAGACTTCCAGATAAAAATCCTGTAAAGATTTTTGATAATAATGCTTATTTTACTGCACAAGAGTTTTGCAATGTATCATTGTATTATTCTTGGCTCGCGGCTGCTACAACAACAACAACAACAACAACGACCCAGTATAATCCCACAAGTAGGGTCGCGGCTGCTACAAGAATAGGATATTCCAATAGATTACTTCTGAAAGAATTCTAATGTATCAACGTCAGTGGTTATCCTTGAGTTCAGTTGCTTTTGATTTCGCAGAGTATCGATAGCACTAGCTAGGGGTTGCAAATAGGTGGGTTGGGCTAAATTTGGGCGGGTCAAGATGGGTTAGATCAATAAATAAGTCATTGCCCAATCCAGCCCAAAATGTACTTGGGCTAAAATGGGTTGGGTCAAGATGGGCTAAACAATGGGTCATAACCCGACCCGCCCAACTTGACCCATGTTTTAGAACCATGCTCATCTTGCATAAAAAAAACCTTTTACCTTAAAATGTGTAAGTTGAAAAATACTTTGCGGGTGGGGTGGGTGGATGATGTAGAAAAACGAAAAAATAGAAAATTAAAAATTAAAAATACAAAAAAAAAGAATTTTTTTTGAGGGGGTTTGCGCGGGAGGGNTTGGGTCAATTAAGTAAATTTCTAGATAAGCTGGGTTGAGATTCCTTTATTTTGGGTGATTTCATGGGTTGTATTTGGGTTGCTTAATGGTCAGAATGAGCTATAAAAAATAATGGGTTAACTTGGGCTCAGTACAAATTGACTCATGAACTAAAATGTTTGTAGTCCAACCCATTAATCTCTGGGCGGGTTGGATGAGTTTGGGCTCAAATTGCCACCCCTAGCATTAGCCTTTTTCCAGTTGGTTGGTGTAACGACCCGACCGGTCGTTTTGAACTCTAGCACGTCGTTCGGTGGTTTGAGGCCTTGAGTAGCTTTACTTCAGGTATTATGACTTGTACGCATGGTGAGAATTGAATTTCGGGAAGTTCGAAGTTGATTTAGAAAGAGAATTCTAATTTTGGAAGTTGGAAGAGTTCACTAAAGTGTCATTTTTCCCTTGAGTTTACAAACTCATCCAACCCGCCCAGAGATTAATGGGTTGGGCTACAAACATTTTAGTTTTGACCCGTATGTCATATGTATAAGTTTTGATTACATGTTGGGTCATCCAATGTCGAGTATTTCCTCATGTTTTATTCTACTTATCTCACGGTAGCCTCTCCAGCTCATTTATCTATGATAGTATGATATGAAAGATATGTTATGTTGGTATTCGTTTGAGTAAGGTACCGGGTACCCGTTGCGGTCCATCGATTTGGGTCGTGACAAGTACGTCTCTCATTATTCGTGACATATGCTATGGTACTTTGGAGTTGGAAGGAGCGAATCGAATTTGTATCATCACGGAGCAAAAACTATGTTCGGATCTGATTTATTTACTCGGCGATTCATCCGGTGAAACTGTTTTTTTTTTCTTTTGATTTTCCTTTTTTTTCAATTTATAGGTATTTGTTAGAAGAAAATTGAACTTTGAAATTGTCAACATTATTGTACTACTTTAGAAATTGTAGGTAGACCATATGTCAATAATTGGTAACCAAGGAAAATCGACAAAAACAATTAAAAGGAAAAAGACTTATCGGAATCAAAGTTCATTCTTCCAAATATGACATGGAAAAACATTCTTCATATTTTGTTGACGTAGAAACTAAATATTATCATGATAGTAAGTAACTGGATTAAGACTTGAAAACTCTCTCCCGGTCCCCCATAAAATACACAATGTTTGAACTCTCCAGGTCCTAAATGTGGCAAATCCAGAACTCGATACAAACGATAATCATCGAGACATATGTTCGTCTTATCTACATTTATTGCCGTGCCTTCATCGTTTAAAACGTAAAGTCTCCTACAATAAGCATCATAATTGGAGTATCCAAAGGGAAAATAACTTGAGCCCATTGGAGGTTCACGCACACCTGGTGAGCTATATGCGACGCCTCCCCACTCAACGTTAACAGCAAAGCTTGCCAAGCTAGTGAAAATCTTTTGAGGCCAAAAACCAACTTGTTCATAAGTTTCATCAACTAAAACCCACCAGTTTCCATTGGATTGATCCTTATATATATATATATATATATACTTTGTATCTTTCAAAAACTTGAAAAAATAATAGAACATAAAGAAATAAAATGTACCCGATGGATGTTCATTGCGAACTCCCATGAATACTTATCTCCACGGTACGGTGTAAAATCGTATCGAAAGTCATATCAGCAGGTATCTCATTGCTTACTTGTACAAATCCAGGGCATAGCATATTGAAACAATGTGTATTACCAGCCTAGAAAACGTAAACTATACATGAACTCTTTTCAATTGAAGTAAATAACTGGCCGAAGAAAATGTTAATCTAATAAAAGTAAAATGAAATCATTAGAATACATAAGATAACTTACTTGAAAATGCACAAAAAACCTAGTCTTATTATCCATCCCCATATAGAGTTGGATCTACCTAAAACAAGAAATATGTTTATCATGTTGCGGAAGTCAAATGTATATAGTGTGAATAAGTCACAACTACTATACCAAAAATTA